ACTGGCCAACGGTTAACTGAAAGTTCAAATTTTGCGCTTTCCCCACCTCCCATGCGTTTTTTTATTTGGTTCGTAACTCGAATCTAAGTTTGCAAGTCGAGTCAATATTTTTCTATTAGATTGGTTTATAAGTCAAAATGTTTGTAACTAGGGCCATTTGTAAGTTGAGGGTTGACTGTATTCAGTTCTTCAAAAAACCTTCCAATTTATGAATATGAATATTGTCCTCCTTTATCCATAATTCAAAACACCAGGAAATAGCCTGATATGGCTGCAGAATATTATGCCCATATTGGGAGCAGTGAAAAGATTCCCAAGTTTTACATAACAAAGGACAGCCTGAATGTTAATAGCACCAGTGGCTGGTGCCAAGATGATCCACAGCAGTGATTCTCAAATTGTGATCCCCAGGTGTTCTTGGACTGCAACTCCCAGAAATCCTGATCAGCCCAGCAAGTCGTGAAGGCTTCTGGGAATTGCAATCCAAGAACATCTGGGGACTCCAGTTCGAGAACCACTAATCTACAGGTTATCCTCTTGTACTCACTACCATTCACAGAGTGACACCAAGCAAGGGAAAATCCCAAAAGCTGATTTTTTAAAAATCTGTTAACCATTTTTCACTCAAACACAAAGCAATTGTCAAGACCTTTTTTTAAAAAAAGAAGTATGAAAGGTAGCCCTAATTGACAGATTCAAAAGATTACCCCCAGACCTGGAGCTGATTTATTTCCCTTTTGAAAACTTGTGTCAGGGGCCTGGTCTCAGAAATCCTGAATGTTTACTGAAAGCATTCAAACCTGGGACAAACACAATTGCTCTGTATTTTTGTAATGTGGAAATAACTCTTTGCTTTGAAGCTTTGTTGAAAATTCTCCTATATGATACATTGTATTTTCTGCCTGGTAAGTCTGTACCAGACATGCTCATTTTGTAACACAGTCAATTTTCCCCCATTGGAAAGGCGTCTTTTTAGGATCAGTATTTCAGCTCCTGCAGCTCAGATTCTTTCCAAATTTAAAAAGTCAATGGGGCCAAATGCTATCTTTTAACATAAGCAAGGTGGTATTTTCAATGTACATAAGCTATTTTAAAAACATCAATTTTTGAATGGGGGAAATAATTTTACTTCTAAAAAAAATCATCACTCAAAATCCCATTGTGTAAACTTCCCCAAATTTAGCAGAGAGCAAGAGCAAACTGTCTGCTACACCTATACAAAACTTGGTGGTGATTCAAAGTCCACTTTTAAAGTTATGATACTTTATTTGGGCTACCTCCATTTTTAAAATTGCCTTGTAGAATGCTGATTTGCTCTACTGCACAATAACATAACCTAAAACTTTCTCTAAACATGAAATTTGGTATAGCAGTGTGGCTAATCCCGCAAAGGTAAAATCATCAAGGAGATTATGATGGGAATGAAATTGTCAAGATATTTAATAAAGAATGATGCATTTCTAATTAGTCCACAGTGTGTGTAGTTGAAAAATTAATTGTGGTGTTATGTAAATGTCATGTTAATTAAAAGAGAATGTAGAAGTACAATAAATCTCCAAAACAAGCTGCAAATTTTTGTTACTACTTACATAAAGTTACAGAGGATTTATAACAAAATGTATATTGATTTATTACAACTTTTACCTGACAGTTTAGAAGCTGCTAAAGGAGGCATGATGATAACACAACTCGTTTCTATGCTTCGATTAAACCATAGAATTATATTTTGTTGCACACATTTTTGTTTGTGTTTCTTCTTTCTATCTATATTTTTCTAGATTTAAGCTATTCAAGAATATTATTAATTTAAGTTACCTGCCTTTCTCATTTTGTTTACAATAGGAGATCGCAGAACAGATTTCTCCATATAGTATTAGGAAATTTGTTGATACTAAACTTGAAAGCCACCAATCCAGAAATAATTGGATGCTGTGTACATTACTTTAGTAGGCACTGTGACATGGAGCAGATGTCACATAACAAATGGCTTCTTTCTAGGCCAGTGGGCTGCTTAGAACTATCCAACACAGTTTTATATAAGAGAATAATTGGTCATAGTTCAACTTCTGTATTTCAGTGAGGGACTTCAGCACGCATGTCATGTTTTTTATCCACTCTGTAAGCGTTTCATACAAGCAGCCGATCTGTGGTAGAAGTAAAAGCAGTTTCTGGAAACGCTACTGCTTTCTTCCTTTTCAGCCAGAGCTTCTTTTGCAGTCTGTAATAGGGGAATGCACAAAACAATTCTGTGTTGTATTTCTCAGTTTTAAAAGTTCAAAAGAGCAGTCACTGAAGTTATATCTCAAATGTTAGTGGTAAAGTTCTGGATATGTTTTGCTGCTTGAACTTGTAATGATTGAAACATTTTACCCTACTTTATATGTGGTGTTCAGTTATTGCTTTGTCATCAATAAGATCAATATGGTCCATAGTATCAAATCAGGAATATAATTTAATGTGTTTTTTATGTTTAAGATTAAAACATAATAGTAATGTAATTTACTACTTCATCATGATTCTAACTCAGGGATTATTTTGCCTGAATGGAAAAAAATATTGTTCATATGCTCTTCAAGTAAAATATAAAATTGGATTTCACTAAATTCACAGCATAAAACATTTATAACTTTCTGTATTATCCTAATATTTAAGAATAAAAGTAGTTCTGGCTATCCTGCTGTGTAACATCTATCTAAAAACAGATTTCTATTGTCTTCATCATTATACTGAAACAGTGTCCTTATGATACAATGGGCTTCTGTGCCTATACAGAGAATCATCCAGAACATTCTAGGGCTGAGCAGAAAATTCCACTTCCAATCTCCTATCATAAAATTCTTTGTAGTTGTAGAGACAAACTAATGCCACTAGTAGAAAATGTTGTTTAGGAAAATTGGTACTGTATCTCGCTACAAACTGCACACACCATATTTCTGGAGAGGCCTTATCCTGTCTGGATCTTTTGATAAATATGACATATGTCAAAATAGTAGCTATTATTTTCTATGCGCAATCTCACATTAGCCTATTTAATCATTCTTTATTGTAGTACAACAACAGCAGCAGCAGCAGCTCTGAAATAAAGGCACACATTGTTAATCTGATAAGCACCTCATTCCCATTGCTTTATACTTCAAGTAAGCTTCAAAACTGTGAATGAAGAATTACTTGTTCCATAATACTTGTAAATAAAGGTTCACTAGGATGTTATCACCTATTAAATATCAGGTTGAAATATGGGTTCTCCTATGTCATCTAAAATTGTCTTTTTAAAAAGTATTAACTAAACTCATTGGATGGCCAGAAAAGCCATTTCAGCATTATCTCTTATATACTGCTGTACCTGTTATATATACCATATGGAAACAGCTCTTCTTGACAGCTCATTCCAATGGCCACCATAATATGGAACTATAGCATGTTGAGAATTCCATATCATGGGGAAACAGAATTTATTAACTGATGTTATGTGCGAAGTGACACTGGGGACAACTTACGCAAAAGCATTTCCTCATGAGAAGTATGCTTTATACTGTAAATTACATTCTGAAACTTGTTGGAGAGAATGATAATACCTGGCATTTATATAGTGGTATAAATCATTCAGAACCATGAACTGCCTTGAAAGATGAGCCAATGTTATCCTCCTGTTGCTGGTGGCGAATTGGAAGAATAGTTACTGACTTAAAGGAATTAATGGCCCATATGAGACTTGGTTTGCAGATTCTGGGCTCATATGTCACCTTCATAACCAATATAAAGTATAAGGTTTACTAACCTTCTGATGCATTAGAAAGTCAACATACATCCTTCTACAAAGCTGTTTTATGTTCAATTATTGTTACATGGAATTCATATGTTCAGTGTATATTGACTGAAATGCATTGGACAGTTACTAACAAGGTGACTGATGTAGCAAACTCCCTTGAGTCTAGAGTAGGGGTCTTCAAAGTATGGCCCATGGGCCACATCTGACTCGCCTTTCCATTTTATCCAGTTTCTTCCCTTCAGCCCATGCACATACACATGGGGGTGCATGTGGGGCGGTGTTGCATGCAGGTGGAAAAGGGGGTGCGGGCATGTGGGTGGGTATGCATGCATGCGCACATGTTCCTGTTCCTTCGACCCTTAAAATGTTGAAAATACCCTGCGTGGCCCTCACAGTCAAAGGTTTGGAGACTCCTCGTCCAGAGGATTATTTTGTGATACATATTGAATACTTCTAAGCAATTTAGAAACCTCTCACCAAAAACCAATTGCCATTTTTATGCATATAGGTAATATTGGTTTCAAAGAATATATGTGTGTGCTGGATATAATGATTTCTTGTGGTATGTATATTACCTTCAACTGTTTTGGATATTGTTCTGTTGTCACCTCACTATGTAGTCTTGTATACTTTGCAACATCTCCATTTTTAATAGACACACAACATATAAATGAAATTGAAATACTGTTTAATAGTTTGGACACAAAATTATCAATATTTAAGTTGGTAAAATTTTATAGAATTTAAATAAAATATTTGAGTTAAAGATAAACTGAGTTAGGGTTTGATCACTGGAGATCCACCTAAGTTGGTAAAAGAGCAATGAACTAGATGTTCCAGTTGTTTTCCAGATGTATTTTTAAGAGATGCCTCTACCATAGTCACACCAGAACTACTGCACACAATACTGTTTAAACTTTTGTCAGTTTGAAAAACAGTTTACCGCAGAACATAAGAGGAGCTGCTTCATAGAAATCTAAAAAATCCTTTATGTCAGAGTACACATTTGACAGTTCTTTGAATCTGAAGCAAAATAAATATGAGGTGATAAAGAATGACTTGCTAGAGGAACCACAGTCTCCATCTGTATTCTACCCTATCCATGACATTTGAGGATGTCTTATGCAAGTTTTTATTAGTCACTTTTATATTAGATATAATTCTGTTCTAGATATATCACATATAGAAAAAGTAGTACATGAGGACTGACTCCCTCTCTTCTTTATTTCAGGTGGGCCATGCACAGATACAGCTCATGTCTCCTTAACCACAGCAACCAAAAGATCTTGTGATTCAGGTAAATTTTAATATCTTTTACAGTTTATTTTAAGCTGTATATTGAAACAGTATATATCTTTGGTGAGCTACCACTCTGAATCAATGACTAATGACAATTGATTGCACAGAACATAGGAGTAAGTCAAGATTCTTAGAATCCAGTGTAGCTATATCCTATCACTGTGCTTCATAGGTGGCTTACAACAGAATGTAGCAATTAAGAACAATCATTTAAAAATGCAGCTATTGTAGAGGGTCACAGTGTCTTCTTAACAACAATAGGTCTTGCAGAACAGGTACGTGTTCCAGATTCTCTGATTAGCTTTGAAACTGGAAGGTAGTCATTGGCTAAGCAATAGGGTTCCACTCTGTATGTAAAAATATAAAAACATAACAGCTTCGACTCAGAATGCAACAGTTGTGTGAAAATCTCATATAAGAAAAAAACATATCCCCTGCCCCTTAAGCTTTTGCATTGAGAGAGGGAATCTGTATGTTTAAAAATCTCACGAGTTACTTATGCTGCTTATAAAAATTACTTTAGAAAATTTTCTACTGCAGTACGTCTGTAGTAGATCAGAGTATAGTCAACACAGCAGTATACATCCTAGATTTTCCCCTCAGCCAGCTGCCTCTAACTGTAAATTAATAATCTTTATCTCAAGAGTTTCCAGTTATCATGCTAAGGCATGAGGCAATGTCTACTGTGTTGTGCTATATAAAATTTAGCACACCAAAACTAGTAATGGTATGCACATATTATTTCAAACCTCTGAAGGCTAGAGGGGCCAGCTGTGAGAGGACATACAAAAGCTCACTTGTAAGGGAAAATATCACACACACTTTCCTTGAGAGACATGTAATCATTGTCATATATAACTGTGAAGGGAATAAACTATCAAATCTCAGTATCCATGCAGTTAGTTAACTTTTGTGAAACCATGAATTGATTTTTAAAATGTCATTATAACTTTTGAAAGTATCAGGAATTACACAACACAGTTGTTATGTGAAAGAAGTCTGGGATTTTTAAGCAAACTCATTCAGTAGAAAAATGGGAACTACCTGCTAAACCAGAGTTCCTCCCTCTCCCACATTTCTTTGTACTTTGGCTAACTTCCAGGTATCAAGAAGAGAGAAAGAGGAGGAGAAGAAAGAGCTTTCACTGAATTTTAAGATATGATAGCAAGCAATAGTTGTCCTTTGGTGTTCTAAGATCAGAATCTCATTGGACCATGAAACCTCTGTGTGCTGCATTACCCCCAGAAACCCAAAGAAATGGGATATACCTAACATAATTCCCATCAGTTTGATGTACATAGGTTTTATGTGCACTAAAAAATAAGTCAGAATAGCAAATTCAGTGGCTGAAATTCTGTTGCTTAGCATAATGTCACACTAGAGTGGGCCCATGGACTCAGTAGGGATACGATGATTCAACTCCTCTGCAAGTTCCATTGATTCAAATGGGCCTAAATTAGTTACGACTTAGTTTAGCCTAGTACATTGCAACTAGAGTAGGCCCATTTGAATCAGTTGAACTTACTGCTTGATGTAATGCGACTTAATACTCAGAGCATAAGGATTTGAGCCAGTGACTATTTCCTTGGATCTGCCTCTGTGTATAAACACCACTTGACATGCTCACATTTTTGTTGTGCATCTTATGTCCAATAAGGATAAAAGGCTATGGGTCTTCCATTAAATAGACATTCTTTAGATCTGCACTCGTAAATTGTCTGTACCAACAATCTAAAAAAAAAGGTTAGTGTGGCCTTTTATTATAAAAATAACTTGGATAGACTTTTGTTGTTCAGTTGACCTTTAAGGTGCTCTTCAAGGCTCTCTAGTATTTGACTGGTAGAAGGTACCATGTTAAAAATCCAGCTATCTTTGGGCCTTCTCACTGGGAGTCATGTGGTGATAGAACAAAGGTGTACTGTACATCATCAATCCTGGTAATGACAGTGCACATTAATGACCTTTTTTTCTTACTCAGTTCTCAGTTGTACTAATAGAACAGCACACCAAGCAAGGCTGTAAATAAAAGTTACTGCCTAATAGGTGGGCACTGAAGTGGAACATACAAGAGCTGAGGCACAGAGACCTTATTACCAGGTATCAGCAATTATAAACAGGATAAAGTGTCCAGGACATGCAGTGACACAGCAAAGGCTAATGGAGGATGGGAGATGATAATATACCAGGATAGTATGATGGATGTTGATGGAATTTTGCTGTCTTGTTTTGTGGTCTTATTTCTGTTATAGGTAGTATTATCTCTTCCATACTTCGAATAAGAGAAGCAGATCATTTTTTATCTGTTGCCATAAATGTAGAGAAATGTTTTGCATAGCTCTGGATTAAAGCCGGAGCTATTATCAGAGCTTAATCGATGACTGAGGAAACCTTTAAAATTGTTAATGATAAGAAAGAAGCAGAAGTAAAAGGTGACAGAAATGGGATTAGAATCCTAAATGTAGGTTTTTGGTAATTTTTCAGAAAACAAAGAGACGTATTTTAAGCATCATTGAAAAAAAAATAAGGCGCAGAAAAGAAAAACTAAGACATCTCTTTCATAATCAATTAATTTTGTTGTTGTTTAGCTATTTAGTCATGTCCTACTCTTCGTGACCCCATGGACCAGAGCATGCCAGGCCCTCCTGTCTTCCACTGCCTCCCGGAGTTGGATGAAATTCAAGTTGGTAGCTTCAATGACACTTTCCAACCATCTCATCCTCTGTCGTCCCCTTCTCTTGCCTTCACACTTTCCCAACATTAGGGTCTTTTCCAGGGAGTCTTCTCTTCTCATGAGATGGCCAAAGTATTGGAGCCTCAGCCTCAGGATCTTATGTCTTATGTCTTATGTCTTAGGATCTGTCCTTCCAGTGAGCACTCAGGGTTGATTTCCTTCAAAATGGATAGGTTTGTTCTCCTTGCAGTCCAGGGGACTCTCAAGAGTCTCCTCCAGCACCACAACTCAAAAGCATCAATTCTTCAGCGGTCAGCCTTCTTTATGGTCCAGCTCTCACTTCCATACATCACTACTGGAAAAACCATAACTTTGACTATTCGAACGTTTGTCGGCAAGGTGATGTCTCTGCTTTTTAACATGCTGTCAAGATTTGTCATCGCTTTCCTCCCAAGAAACAGGCGTCTTTTAATTTCGTGGCTGCTGTCACCATCTGCAGTGAACATGGAGCATAAGAAAGTAAAACTTGTCACTGCCCCATATCTTCCCCTTCTATTTGCCAGGAGGTGTTGGGACCAGTGGCCATGATCTGAGTTTTTTTGAGGTTGAGCTTCAGACCATTTTTGGTGCTCTCCTCTTTCACCCTCATTAAGAGGTTCTTTTAATTCCTCCTCACTTTCTGCCATCAGAGTGGTATCATCTGTATATCTGAAGTTGATATTTCTTCCAGTAATCTTAATTCTGGTTTGGGATTCCTCCAGTCCAGCCTTTCGCGTGAAGCAGAAGTAAATGTTTTTCTGGAACTCTTTGGCATTCTCCATAATCCAGCACATGTTAGCAATTTGGTCTCTAGTTCCTCTGCTCCTTCGGAATCCAGCTTGTACTTCTGGGAATTCTCAGTCCACATACTGCTGAAGCCTACCTTGCATAATTTTGAGCATAACCTTGGTAGCGTGTGAAATGAGTGCAATTGTACGGTAGTTGGAGCATTCTTTGGCACTGTCCTTCTTTGCGGTTGGGATGTAGACTGATCTTTTCCAATCCTCTGGCCACTGCTGAGTTTTACCAAACTCGCTGGCATATTGAGTGTAGCACCTTAACAGCACCATCATTTAAAAATTTAAATAGTTCAAAGGGAAGGCCATCACCTCCACTGGCCTTGTTGTTAGCCATGCTTTCTAAGGCCCACTTGACTTCGCTCTCCAGGATGTCTGGCTCAAGGTCAGCAACCACACTATCTGGGTTGTCCGGGACATCCAGATCTTTCTAGTATAATTCCTCTGTGTATTCTTGCCACCTCTTCCTTGATGTCTTCTGATTCTGTGAGGTCCCTGCCATTTTTGTCCTTTATCATGTCCATCTTTGCACAAAATGTTCCTTTAATATCTCCAATTTTCTTGAACAGATCTCTGGTTTTTCCCTTTATATTATTTTCCTCTATATCTTTGCACTGTTCATTTAAGAAGGCCCTCTTGTCTCTTTGGAAGTCCACATTCAATATTCTGTAACTTTCCCTATCTCCCTTGCATTTTGTTTCCCTTCTCTGCTATTTGTAAGGCCTCATTGGACAGCCATTTTGGTTTCTTGCATTTTTCTTTGGGCTGTTTTTGTTGCTGTCTCCTGTACAATGTATTGCCCATTTGGTGATATTCATGTGTAGAATCGCCTCTTATGTTGTTGGAAAAGAGTGTTTGTGATGACCAGCTTGTTCTCTTGACAAAATTCTATTAGCCTTTGCCCTGCTTTATTTTGAACTCCAAGACTCCTTTTATCTCTTTTCTCCCTATTTTAGCATTCCAGTCCCCTATAATGATAAGGACATCTTTCTTTGGTGTCAGTTCTAGAAGGTGTTGTAGGTCTTCATAGAATTGGCCAATTTCAGCCTCTTCAGCATTGGTGATTGGTGCATAAACTTGGATTATTGTGATGTTGAGAGGTCTCCCTTCGATTCATAATGAAATCATTCTATCATGTTTGAGATTGTATCCCAGTACAGCTTTTCCCACTCTTTTGTTGAGGGCTACTCCATTCCTTCTACGGGATTCTTGCCCACAATAGTAGATATGATAATCATCTGAATTGAATTCACCCATTCCTGTCCGTTTTAGTTCACTGACGCCCTAGATGTCAATGTTTATTCTTGCCATCTCCTGTTTGACCACCTCCAGCTTCCCAAGGTTCATAGATCTTACATCCCAGGTTCCTATACAGTATTTTTCTTTGCAGTATTGGACTTTCCTTTCACTTCCAGACGCATCCAGAGCTAAGCGTCATTTCAGCTTTGGCCCAACCACTTCATTAGCTCTGGAGCTACTGTACTTGTCCTC